TTGTTGATCTCTGTTACAACTTTTAATTGCTTTTAAATATAGAAAAGAAGAGCCAGTGGGGCACAAGCTCTGAATTATTTAATGACAGTCACAGATAGGGCCTAATTTATTATATATTAAAAAAAAAATAGACAAAAAAAAAAAGCTATACAGCTCTACAAAAATTTTATCAGAAGCATATATGTAAGCAAATGACAAAATACATTAAAACATACCAAATGCAAAAGTTGGCATGACACAGCTCTGCTTCCACGTTTAAACTAGCACAAAAATGACTAGCAGAAAACCAAACCCATTTAATTGTTCAATTAGAATAAGTTTTGTCCCAAAAGGGCAGTATTTACAGAGACCTCTGATGATGCATCCATACTCTGCACTACGTAACAGCACCGACTGTTACCCTTACACGTTGCCATCGCTTCAGTCCTCCCCTCTCTGTGCACACAAAATACAAACCGCATGGAACTTTTGGGTTTGGTTTTTTTTTTGCTTTTCACTCTCTCCACCCCAGACCACAAAAAGGGAACTATGTCCAAGAAAGCTCCAAGAGGACCATTTTCTTCTTGCCATTTAAATCAATCCCTAGCATGTAATTTAGCTTGTCAAATAACATACTTATTACAGAATTTACAGCTTATTACGTTATACCCAAATGGAACAAAACTTGCTCACTTAAACATTCAAGAACCGCAAGGCAGCATTTTCAGTGACTTTTAACAATATACATGTGACAGATGGACTAGAACTGATTACAGGGATACAGGCAATATCCTTAAACATTGGGAAAAAGTTCAAGCTACAGTCCTATTTCTTGTATTTTTCCCTCACTATCTTACCTACCTCTGGATGTCATTATGTGCTCTTATACATACATATTAAAAGAATGAAAACACAAATACATAATTTCTGATTCAGTTAAATTAAAAAAAGATGAGCGTTGTCCACATACAGTGGTATCAGATGTGCTTTACAAATCCATACAGTAGATTTGTTCATACGAGAGAAAACTCAAATCCAATTACACATATAAAGACATTTCACTATAAAAAAAGGAACCTGACTTGTACCATTTTCTATCTAAAGGAATCGATTATTACCATCTATGACACTGCTGAGAGGGAAACGACACACAGGATCAGCGACAGGGTAACAGAAAGAACGTATAAAGCTAATTACTACTAATCACAGCAGAAACGGCACTAAGCTATGTGTCTGCAGTGGAACAGTAGACTTTACACCACAGCTTTAAAGAGGTATTTTCTAGTGCATGTATTCACCAGCGCAACCGTAACATTAAACTCGTGTTTTTATGTACACCCAGTGGGCGTTTCTCATCAACGGCGACACCGGTTTGGCACCCCGCACCTTCCCGCGGACGCCGGCGGCCACCGGCACAGGGCTCCTCGCAAGCCC